ATGGGAGTGGATCCCTGTTGTGGTGACTTGGTGGCAGAGCTGAAAGGAAATCGCCCTGTCGTGCGCTGGTGGACGCACGGTTTATGGTGAGCAGGGGAGGGGGAGGGCTGCGCTGGGGAATCGCTCTCCATCTGTAGCTCCTCTGCCTTACAGAGGGCTCAGGGCCACCACTGTCCTCGTTGTGCTGGGAGATGCGCTCACCTAAGTGACCTTCTGGTCCTCTTCCCTGCATACTAGAGGACAGAGCCCCATTCTGAATGAGTCATTATTTTAAAGGTAAACGCATTGTGTGTCTCGCCTCTCAGGGTGCTGCTGAGGCTGTGCTGGCTGGGAGTGCAGCAGGGAATATGAATCTCCTCTCCTTCTCGTCTTCTTTCCCCCCCCCCCCCCCCTCTTTCCCCCCCCCCCCCCCTCCCCACAAAGACTTGCATCAAAGGGAGACCTGGACAAGAGACCAAGGGCCACGGGGTGAAGCTCAGTCCCAGCTTTGCTGCTGAGCTCTGATTTTCTTTGCAGGTCTCTGTTATTTTACTGGCGTTTGCAGAAGAGCCTGAGGATGTGGACTGAGCTTATAAACCTCGCTGGGAGGAAACGCCAAGGGCTGTACCAGTGGGAAGACCCTGAATACCACCAGGCTACCTGGCTCGTGCTTCTGTTGTATCTCTTCTGCTCACGCAGGAAAACATAACCACAAGAATCGGAAACCATCACGGTGAGTGTAACCCACGGTCCCGGGGGAGGATGGACGTGGGCCGTGAGATGCTGCTGCACAATTACTGGAAGGCAATCAACGCTTCCGTAGGGAAATGCAGCAGCAGAGCTGGTCTGCGCTGGACCTGGGCTTCTGCACCACAAAACCCCCAACCTCCCATCCCCAGGCACCGCTCTTGCTCTCAATCTCTCCCTTCCTAGGAGGGATGGACTCGAGGAGTTGCTCCTTTTCCTCTCCCTCCCCTTTGCATCAATACAAGAAGCTGCTGTGCATCTCCTGGTCTCCAACCCGCGTGCAGGATCCATCCCGCAGCCCCTGGGAGCGCAGCTGGCCGTGGCACAGGACCGAGCATCACTTGGCCCTGCTGCATCCCTCCCGTCCAGCCGGGTCTGGATGCCTTCGTCTGCCTGCGGCACGGCGTGGGGTTCTTGTGCGTTTTAGCCAACAGTTTATGTGGAGAAGAGGATGGAAACTGGATTAAAAAGGAACAGGCTGTTCCAGCTTTTTCCGCTCGATACCTGGGCGTTTCGTGTCGGGGAGGGCACAGCGATGACTAAACCGCGTGGGCCAGAGGATTTTTCTAGCTCTAATTGCCAGGTGCCGGTTTGCTGTTGCTCTCCCATCCTATTTACATTTCTTTCTTTTTAATTTTTTTTTTTTTCGAGTTGCTCGATAGCTGGAGGCTGCAGTTGGTGTGGTTGGATGCAAGACGGGAGGGGACACGCTCGGATGAGACACCAGCAGCTCTTTGGGAGGAAAGCCCCGCCGTTCGCCCCCGGC